AAAAATGAGCCAGCCAAGCCTTCAGTCAACTTAGATGAGATCAAGGCAAAGATCGAGGAGGAGGCGTACAATAAAGGGTGAGGCCTTTTCTCATGCTGTCTGTATGATAGCATTGTTGTTTGTTATCCTAATTCATCACTTTTATGGTACAAGTGAATCTTCTCATGTATATAATGTTGCAATATTTAATGTTATGCATACAATTAGCACAGAATATAGCAACTGTGGCAGATAATAGCACATCCATTCATATACAGTAAATGTGAATATTTTAAATCCAGCTACCAAGAGGGACTGAAACAAAGCAAAGCAGTCCAGGAAGAAGAAACCGCTGCTGATTTATTGCTGGAATCAAAGGATAAGGATGAAGAGAGTGGAAGGAAGATAGAGATGAGAAGGTAAAATGAAACAGCCTGCAATAATATGCTTATTCCCTTTCTTGTCTTGAACTAGATGAAAAGATTCATACTGCTCTCGTGACTGCCTGTTAAATATGAAGCAACAGCCTGCAGCAAGTTAGCTTGGTATAATGGCTGCAAACAGGGGAAAACAGCTAGCCCGGCTTTACCCAAATGTTGTAAAACCTACCTACCAGCTTGGTTAAAGATCACTAAAAAAATATGCTATGTTTTGTTGGTTTAATCTATTCAAAAACTGCAATCTTATAGTCCAAGAAATTGTCCGGCACATACAGAACTTCCCCCAGTGTCTCCTGGCTATAACTTAATATTTGCTGTACAGACATGAGATTGGAATCAATAATGCTCCAACTCTTTTCAAGAAAGCAAATGAGCATTCTCCCCAAATTAAATCGTAACACAGAAATATACAACATGAATTGTGTGTTTTTCTTTGAAAGTAATGTCCAATCCGCAAGTTACTTTCAAAATACAGTGTGGGCCACGGAAAAGTAGCCTGCCTCCAATACCTATTCTCTATCTATTGGAATGCCGGAGGCGAGCTACTTTTCCGTGTCCCACCCTGTACATTAAAGTAGGAGACATACAGTAGTTGGAAACTAGCAATTTCATTCATGGGAGTGAAACCACAAAAGTCTGCACATTCAAAACTTCCTTTTCCAACATTTAAATGGTTAAAGTAGAGCCTCTTCTAACAGGACAAGTTTGGCTGAACAAATGTAGATAGGTAGAAATTCACATCAGTATCTTTAAGAACCCTCCGAGGTGGTACTTTCCAAGTTATTTTGGACCAACCAGAAATGTAAAAACATTTAAAACTGTGGTTAAAATGCAGACAACAATGGAAATATACTATATAATGTATGAGGTCTTTATCTTCACAGGAGGCTGGAGGAGGTCTTGGTTCTTCTTGGTCGGTTTTGTCCCCATATTTCTTTAAGTAGGCGACTTCTCTGGACCGCCCTGACACTGTTTGTGATGATGTGTCTGGTTATCAGTATTTTTACATTCTTCAGTGACTACTACAACAGACGTGAGGACACATAAGGAGAAAAGGACTTGGTATGAAACAGGATTAACATCTTTGGGCTGAGTGTAGTAGCACAACCAAAGAAACCCAGAGACTTCAGGCATTCTCAGTCTCTGCTGATTTACCATATCATCACACATGGACTCACTTGAAATTATGACCCTGACTCGTGAGGGTTGAAGGTTTTTTGGGAGGCTTTATAGATAATTTTGATGTTGTTATAGTAAACAACATTGCAAAATTATTTTAATTGGTTCAAAAAGTCAACAAATTGTTTGCTGCAGCAAGAAAAAGTTCCATTTCTGTTTAGGGACCAATTTTATAGTGTGGTAACTTATATATATATATACATATACATATATATATATATATATACATATTTGGATTAGATGCATACATAATTATTCATTGTGGTTTTGGTGTTTTGGATGATGAATATGGCACTTTCCATTAAGTGCCACAGTAGAAAAAGTTTATATTTATCTACATTCTAATGCTGAAGTAGGCCTACAATCTCTCAGGTCCAATACAGTAGATAATAAAAACCCTGAGAGTTTCTGAATTCATATTGAAATATATAGAATTGAAATGGTTGCTTTTATTTGTTGTTTAATATCCATAATGTGTATTTAATGACTTTAACATATAAGCACATTCCAAAGTAGTTCCTTAAAGTGCAATATTTTGCAGTTGATGGTTCTCATTTGTGCCATTTTGGATTGTGTCTTCAGAACACTGAGAGATTTTATTCTTGTATGAGAGCACTGTTTAGATTGCATGAATCCTTATCTTCTTTGCACATGTGTTTGTTTGTACTTTGTGGATTTTATTCTCTGCCACTTCACCTTTAAATAAAGGTGCCTGAAAATATTCTGTAGTTATTTCCACAGTGACAATATAAGGTGCTGCAAAAGCAAATTAGCTCAATAGTCCTTCTAACATGAAGGACATACAGAGGACAAGAAAAATTAGAGATTTTTGTGTTTGTTTGTTTGTTTTTCAAAAGTTGGATGAGAAGATACTATTCTCAAGCTTGTACAATAAGTACACAGCTGGAGCTACATACTTAGCTTAGCATAAATTCTTGGACACGGAAGGAAACAGTGTGGTCCTGTCCAAAAGGTAACACCCAGCAGTGCCAATAACACCCACAGCTTAACACGTTGTGACTTGTTTATCTGAAAAAAACAAAAAACAAACAGTACCAGCAAAATATTTTGAGTCTTGGTTGCTTGAAAACTTCCTGTTTTCAGTCTTTGTGCTAATGTTAAGCTAGGATAAGCTATCCTGATATAGCTTTAGGTTTAGTCTACAAACATGAAAGTGGTATAAAAACTTTTTTATGTCAAATGTTCTCTAAATTATGTGATCAGTCATCCAGATTTCATTAAAGATTTTATGTCACAATAGGAAAAGTACAGATGTATATAATTATTATTTCAGGGTCTCAGTATTGTTCCTGCTGGCTCACTGTCCTGGTTTACTAAACCTTTAAGAACTTGAAAAGAACCGAGCCATCATTTACCAAAGCATCAGAACTCCAACATATTCTCATTTATGTAGCTTAAGTAACTCAGGAAACCATTAATGTATTTTACTCCTATAAGGCCTTAATATGACTCCATAGACACAAGCCCCACCAGGGGTGGGATTGTCCTAGTTTGAAAAACACTGTGTGCTGCATGTTTGTCAACACTCTGCGTCATTTGCTGTCGTCAGGGCTTTGGAGAGATGTTTTTGTGGAAATGGGCTGTCGTCATGTGCCAGAAGCCATCAGAGGATACCAAAGATCATAAGCATGTTCATGACTGAGTAATGTCCCAAGGGAGGAAATCATTTGGAGAGGGTGCCCAGAGTCAGATGCCAGTAACAGTGCAAATTGCTTACTCTCATTATTACTATTTATTTATTTTATTCTTGTACTGCATATTACATTTAGTATTGAATTTTGCCTTACACTTTAATTTGTAGCTTTGTTTCTTGCTGCCATAGTAGTCTCATCTTTTATTTTTCTCCTGGGCCCTGCTCTGAGAACATATGATGAGGCTCTTAATCTGACCTGTGCACAGCACTTCCTCTTCCTTTTCCTTTACTTTCTGGCAGTAACACTGCCCTCACACTCCGGTGAACAGAATCACCCCTATTTAACCCTGTTATTTGGCTCACAGACACAAAACCTGCAACACTTGCCATCCCCTACATTCATTTGCCTCTACTCTGACCAGTCATAAGTATGATCTGGCTTTGCATTACCTTGGTGTCAGTTACTTCAGTCATCTCTGGTCAAAATATAAACACAAGTCAGATTAAAGGTAAGTAATTAGCATTTGTATATTTTCAGCAGGTATATATACTGTAAATATTGTATGTTTGTTAACTGCATAACTATAATATGTTCTCTGATGTATTGGTTCATTCAAAATTGCTTTATTCTATTACTGTACAAACAATCAGTAATCTAAAAATATGTGAAACTATATCTGACAAAGTTTTATGTTGTTTCTAGTTTTCCCTGCACTGAACCAAAGCATTGCCGGAGTATTCCAGGTCACCTACCTAAATTACAACAATCAGCCTGAGTATGCCTTCAATGCTTCTCAAGCTCGGCAGCTCTGCTTGTCCCTTGGAATGAGCATTGCTTCAAAAGCTCAAGTAGAGGAAGCCCTCCGCAGAGGTTTAGAGACTTGCAGGTAAGTCCATGGTAGAAATGTCATCTCAGTGGAGTTCACTGAAAAGTACCTGATGTCATGTTTTGTTTTGACTAGGTTTGGCTGGATTGATGAACATTTTGTAGTCATTCCACGCATCAAGGCAGCTTCTAACTGTGGTAGAAACCGCATAGGCTTGATAACCTGGCGAGTCCTTGTGAATGAAAAGTTTGATGTGTTTTGCTTCAATGAATCAGGTATGAAATTTTTCATACAACTATACATTAAGAGTCAACAGTTAATTGCAGATAGCATGCATGCTGTTCTTAGCACAGCCCTGGCTTTTTATTCTTTAACTATAAATCTGATTAAAAGCAGATCAGCAGGTATTAACTCAGGTTAATGTCAATTTACAATTTAGATTTGTAATTAGCTATATTTTAAGTGTGTTCTACAGTACATTCTGTAAATTCCTATTTATTTTACAGGATTAAAAAATAAATACATAAACTAAATATGTGCCATTACTGCCAGAAGCCCATTCAGAAATGCATCTGTAATATTTTCCTATTCTTTGTAAATACAGTTGTACAAGGACTTCATTAACAGCACAGAGATGCTAATGAGGGGCAGATACAATTTTCCTGTGGCAGCAAAGTTAAAAAAAAAAAAACTAACTGTACAAGCATACATTTTTTTGTTATTGAACTTGGACCTTGAGTCTATAATAAAGTGTCATTCATTCATTCATAGGTTTATTAAATGGCATGCACAGTATATACAACTTATTGAATTTCTCCTGGCCTTCATATACATGTACAGGTGCGGTGAGACAAGTGGAGAATCCAACAACTAGTAGCCCTTTGAGCAGCAGGGAATACTCTAGCTCCACCCTAACCACATACTCTACATCCTACTCCTACTCCTCTGTTCCTCCTACTTACTCATCTCCTACAACCACAGACAGCGAGGTTGAACCAGCCCACTCTGTCAGCAGGGCTCAAGGCTCTCCTGGAGGTATGAGATCTTTTTCACAACAAGATGAAAGCTGCACAGGACATTTTTGTCATATTTAGCTCATACTGCACAGAAACAAGACTAATAAATAAAAACATATGTCATAAATACAAGAAAAGCCTTTTTATCATGTGTTTGGATTCGATGTTTGTTTTCTTTGACTGACATTTTCCTTTTGTGTTTTATTTTTCAAGTAAAAGTTATAGTCATCATCTCAGCCTGTGCCATTCTGCTTGTCGCAGTAATCATCCTTGCATTCCTAAAATTGTGAGTGTTTTTTTTAATGAAATAGCTACATAATACTGAGGGCTAAAAACAGATTTGTTGTTGGCTAGATGGTGCTTTATAATCTCTAAATAGGGACTTGAATGAATGGATTGTTTGTGAGCTCTATGTACAATAACACTACTCAAACAAGCAACTGTATATGATACAATATGTCCACACTGGCAGTTGAATGAGCTGTTGGAAGACTGACAGGACAAAATGTATTTCTCTCATTTAAAGTCAAGTTATTGCCTATTACATTTCTTTTGTTATTATTATATCTATTAGTGCATAGTCTGATTTTTTTTCTTCATTCTCTCTGTACAAAGGAGGAGGCGTTGCCCTTGGAACGCTGACATGAAGCAGAAGCAGCCAGAGGACATTGAGACAGAGGAGTGGAAACATGTGAAGAATATAAAGGAAACCAAGAAAGATGCTCAGGAAGATGAGACAATAAAAGTGGGTGTTGATGCAAGTTAAACAGTTCTCTTGATTAGATATTTTGAAGAAACACACCATGGACAGCTGTTCTTTTTAAGGATAAAGATGTGTATTCCATGATTTTTGTGAATGTAATGTGAGAGAATGAATATTAAATACATTTATTGTTACATATGTTAAACATGTTTATTATGTTCATTCATCTAATAGTATTATACAGTGCAGTTTAGCCACTTGATCGCAACATTTGCTGTACAATCGTGGTGTTCTTTAAGAACTTTTTATTCTTTTAATACAGTGTTTGTTGCTTCAGACAATAAACATACCTCTAAAAGAAACAGTTTTAACTATTGCAAGCACTTTTTAAAAAGCCTGTACCATCACAAACATAGGTATTTTCCATTGTTTTGATATCTTTCCAAACCTCTTTAAAATAAGCCTTTTAAGGCAGAAATGGAGGAAATGTCCCAAACAGTCTGATGATGAGTGTACACAGTAACTGAAAAATGTCAAGGTTCAAATAGTTTCTCTGACATACCCCCAGCTAAAAAAAGGTGTAAGGCACAATTGCTAATACATGGTGAGTTTTTTAAGCATGAATCTACTTTCTTTTTTTTAATCATGGTAGTCGGTCAGTGCCGAGAAAAAGGTGAATGATGATAAGAGAGTTCAGCATACTCAGATTCTGTCTAAGGTGAGGGGCATTTTATTCATACTGGGAATTCGTAGTCAGACTTCACAGCATCGACCATGAAGCTAAGTTCATTGCACAGTGTCTCATGTCTGTAGGCCATGCGGATCTGGGCGACATTGGTCCGACGAATGTCATTTCCTTCTGGTCCATCTTTCAGATAGTTTACTCCTAAGAAGTGCTTTTTTTCCTGTAAATAAACAGTAAATTGTTAGGGGATAAATGAAATTTATGTTGATTAAATGTGATGGAGATTTGGCCATATCTGTGGATTGAAAGTGTCACTGTACCCAGTGAGATAGTCCACTTTGCAGCACACTGTTCCTGGCTATTTCACACACATCACAGGTGCTGAGCTTCCACAGCTGAGCTGCTATAGCGTACTCCTCCATGAGTGGCTCCTAGAATAAGGGCACACAAACAATGGACAATAAATGGATACTGAAGATCTAAATCCATCTAATACAAATTATCATAGTAAGTTTAATTTACACAACGATTCTGACATATTAATGGCAGCCTTTGTTTCTGTTTACCTTGGTGTAGTGGAACTGCATGGGATCATCCGTGGACAGGGACACACACAGACCTTTGTGCAGGAACTCTCTGAGAGGATTTTTGGAGTATTCCAGGAATAGACTGTTGTTGCTGAGTGGAGACATTGCAATTGGCACCTGGGCCAAGTAGTATAGGTACTGCAGCACAGGGCTCTGAGGAAGCATGAAGTTTAAAATAATTAATACTGTTCTGGCATTGTGTGCACATATTGTGATGTTTTATGCACATGTTCCAAGCTTTCTCCTGATTTAACAATCATCATGTCTCATTATCATCTGCTAATTACGTGCTACATATTGTATACAAGTCGAAAGAAAAATTGGTCTCAAACCAACAAAGTCCATAAAACAGAATAATGATGCCTTTGGTCTAAAGCCCATACTGCAGCATCCCCATGTTATCTTTTTATTGATAAGACATTCTTTTGCTCTGCAAAAGATTACTCTCGACACCATCTGAACTTCAAACTTTTATTACTGTAGTAGTGGATTTAAAAATCAGTAGATCAAAAGTACCTTTTTCAAATTGAGTCCATGTGAGATGTTGTCAGCAGTGAGAAAGGCGGAGACCAAATGAGTGACAGATCCAGCTTCTCCGCAGTGGGGACGGAACTGGAAGGTGCTCAGTCCACGCTCCCTATAATGAACACAAAGTGATATAATAAACATGTCACACAGAGTATTTATGGATAGCAGCTATAGCCTATTGTATACTGAGATGTTCAAGTTTCTCTCATCAGCCATGTGTGTTCACTTTCCGACGATTAATGAATCACTTCTTCCCTGAGGGCTCTACAAAGTAAATAGTCCACTGAGTGCTGGGCCCACAGTACAGCACAGGTCCTAGGCCATACAATCAAAGGTTTTCCTGTCAGTCTTATAGCAAAGCACTCTCCTTTAATTAGGTGTGTGTTTTGTAACAGGAAGGAGGCTTGGGCTCTTACTTTCGGAGGTTGTTGAGGACCATGATATTTGCATACATGTGGAAGATATAGTAACTGTAGGGAGGGTTGTCATCTGAAGTCCACTGCTCTGGCTTTGGGCTCCTGAAAGAGAACATGTGGTCGCTGTGTTTGGACTCATCGTCGACGCTGTCAAAGCCTGACACCTGCATACGCAAAAAAGAAAAATAACAAGTGGGATGGTTCTGTTAAGCCTCACAAGTACTGTATCAAGGAAAAATAGCTTTCTTAAAGATGTCACTAATATTAGTCACTTCTTAACTGATCAGTCTTAACATTATTGTTCACTTTCTACATAAAAATTAATAATTTATTACCTTGAATAATTTTTTTACCTTCATATTACAAAATTATTTCCTAAAAGGTAGCACCTTCAGCATTAAATATACACCTTCAGCTAAATATAAAATTACATGAATGTTTATAACACACATATGGTTATGAGATATAAAGGCATGTTAACTGTTTATTAAAGTGCAGTATGTAGTTATAAGCATTTATTAACGACATGAATGTAAAATGGGGTTATTTTAAAGTGTCACCAGCCCCAAATTAATAGCAGTGAATTGTTTATTATTTTTGAGAGCACAGGTTAATAATTTAAAGGCATGACTTAGACATTTATGCAACAGTTTACTTCAACGTTGCTCCTAATACCTGAACCCTAAACAATCTTACATATTTGAGGAAAACATGAAGTTCTTTGTGCTTCTGTGGGTTAACAGTGGCCTCAAATAAAGGGAGGAATACGTTCTCCAGCATCTTGGCAAAATTCGGCACCAGCTTCTTTGACTTGAAAATGTCACTGGAAAACATTAAAACATTGTCTTATTTACTGAGAAGATTTCAAGATTTCATATTTTATGACATTCTTCTAAATTAGAAGTTTGAATTTTTTCTCAAGGCTGTAGCACTCACTATATTCTGGGCACTTGAATGACCCACTTCATGTTCGGAGAGTGCACTTTGTGGTTAATAAACCACTGAGACAGGCTGTCCCACTCCTCTGGACAGCGTCCGTAGATGGACAGGCGTGGCTCTGCATGCTGATACTTACTCTCCTCCAGGTCATGGGCCACTTCCTATTCAAGGTAAGAAGGAGAGTGTGCTAAACTGTCACTGCATCCGTTCAGATTTAAAATGTAGCATTACATGTGATACCTTTATGATGTGAGCAAAATACTCTCCATTGATGAAGTTGTCTGTTTTCAAGAAGATTTCTCGAAGTTCATTGGCTCCCACTGGGTTATACTTCGAATTGAACTTATCGAACCGATGGAAGGTTTGTCTCCCCTGTAAAGTTTAGAAATTACAAAGCATAACTGTAAACCCAGTGACATAATAAACTTCATATTTTGTTCCCAATTTCCAGACATTAAATAATTAACAAAGCATTTTATGAAAACATAGTTCTACAGCATGTTGGCCTCTTCTTTTCTTACAGCATGTACGTCCAGAGAGTCCACAGTTAGGTCATAGGGGTTCTTATTGAGGCTGTGGAAAACCTGCTGGAGAGTCATCTTTTCTCTGGCCTTTTCCAGCACCACACGGTCGGCATCGGTCTTGTATGTTTTCTGGATGAAGGTCAGCAGGTGTTTCTCAGACATGCAGGCAGCAGCATGAATATGTGTGTCGACCTAAGAGAGAGAGAAGTAAGTATGTTCATTCTACTGGACATGTTGTTTTTAAACATACACACCTGAGTTTTCTTTTCTTTATCATTTAGGTTTTTCAGTTAAGGACGCTGTGTCAGCATGTATTGAAGGGATATGTGTAAGTGTATTGACATCCTATACACACACACTACTGACCTTTCTAACATTGTAGAAATCTCTATGTGGCACGCCTTTCAGTTCCTTTAGCTCGGCCATCTCATTGAGCATCTCATGGAGGTAGAACTTCGAACTCAAGAAATTGAGTCGCCTGTGACAGTACGTCTTCCTGAAAGTTAGACTGGACCTTAGTTTATTTGCTGCTGCATAAGTTGAAATAAATGATTTTTACATCCAGGTCTGATTTTTCAACCAGCATCTTTTTTGTTTTGGCAGCTTACGTGGGTCCATCTGCAATCATTGCCAGGACATGACTGAGGTCTATGGCAAAGGTCTCCAAGTCTGGGTAGGGAAGGTCATGGGCCTGGTTTCTTCTCAGAGCCTCTGCATTGTCATATACGTACACTATCCCATCCTTCATCTTCAGTTCATAATTCAGGTTATCAGGGATGTTCTCCATGCTGTAGGGATCCTCCTCGTGTGTTGGACATGGGCACATATCTGGAGGTCACAACACTGAAGTGTTACTGTTGTATAAGTCAGAATAAAACATCAGTGAGTATAGGTTCAAACACTTCATACCTGGTAGAACCTCATCTTGTTCGCTCCATCTCACGTTCTCCGCATTACGGAGGAACTGGGCTGTAGTTCTGCAGAATCTATGATAGGCTAGTTTTGAGTACTTCTCACGAATAAGCAGGGCCTTAAACAGACTTTTAGCTGCCTGCTCAAAGTCATCCACTGTCACCTGAGGGTGGAATCAAATTAAGTGTTATCTAAGCTACTTGATAATTGTACAAATATGCCATGCTTTTCAACATTCTGTGACAATAATGAGATGGGAAAACACTTAGTAAATATACAGTATGTAAAGCTGTGAAAGCATTACATAATTTCTCTGGACACTGGTTAATACTCCTGTTTATCATACAGTACTTACTCCAGCACAATAATCACCGGTAATAGTGACCCTCTGGTAATCAGGGCAGTTTTCTGGCACTGATGAGCAGGTGGAGCTGGGGGACATGAATGGAGTAACTCCACCTGACCGTGTCCAATCTGTATTCATAGGAAACTGCATGGACATTGACTGGGAGCGAATCATCTTCAAGCTTTTCTTCCTGTTAAATTGGCAACAGGATTTGATATCAAGTTCACTTTTTATGGCGCTGATCTGATTTATGACAGCATCCTCTGTGATTTTGTGCCAGACTGATAGCAGGGCCTACCTCTTAGTACTCTCCTCTGACTGGTTCTCCGCCAGCTCCTTAAGCAGCTCATGTTCCATGGCTTGCTGCAGGCCAACCGGGCAGTCCTCGAGCACAGTGAACACTGATAAAGCATCCTTGCTGTCTTCTTCCTTTAGGGCTGTTGCATATACTTTCTCTGCTAGCAGCTGAGTCTGCTCCTCTGCCTCACTCAGCGTTACCTTTGGGAATTGACGAGGCATGTCTGCAAGAAGGCAGAATCTACAGTAAAATGACAGCAACATCTAATCCTAAGACACCAAGGTGATCTTCCCTCCCCTTATGCTACTTTACTTGCTCTGTTCAGTTCATGCTGTTTTGTAAACAAACCAGTCTACCTGTGTAAGGGTTTAGGGGCAGGACATTCAAGAGCTAATTGTTGCACAGCATCACCACCTAGAGTGCTCTGTGTGAATTGTCCCTGTTGGTTCATTAAACTGCTGCTGTTGTTTATGTTCTGCAGGAAGACTTTTAAATACTTCACATTCTATCTTGAACTTTTTATTCTTTCTCCAAACTTCAACTGAAATCCGTACTTCTTGTGTGAGCAATGCCACCAATGTTCTTTCGCTGTATTATGCATGAATAGAAATTATATGTAGTCTGAGGAAGATTGGAGGGACCAAAAACACTGCTATAAACAATTTCTTCCCTGATTACACAAAATATAAAACCCCTGTAGCTTTCTGTCTCCTTGGAAAATGGATTAAGAGTGGATGAAGTCATGCAATGCAAGCCAAATGACATCCACTGCCAGTTAATTTCACACTGTTAATGTTATAATCTTTATTACTTATTTTAGTTACTGTCCACAGTTAGTTTTTTTTTATCCTGTTTTCCTATTTGCTGCTTTTGTTCATTGTAGCTCTTTGGTTTTTCTTTTTATGAAGTGTCTGTCCTTTATAGGAGTGTTTCCCAAATAGGGGTACAACTACCCCTAGGGGTACTTTGGATTACTGCAGGGAACCCCCTGCAGTAAATTGCTGTAAATTGTGGAAAGCAACAAACACAATCACCATCACTGTGAGTGGAAAGCCAGTTTCCATACGGAATGAACGAGATCCCCAGTGAAGCACAAGCCAATTCTCACTAAATTGTAAGTGTAAGTTGTCAAAACCACTCAACCACAATGACATCTTAATATTATTGCATGACAAAAAATTGGCTTCCCATTTAGTGATGGCTAGTGGCTACATCTGAAATTTAACATTTAAGGTTTTTATTTAATAAATCTGACAATGATGGGGTTGTACAGATTTTTTTTCTGCCAAATATGTTTTGCACTGCTCTGAGGATATTCAGCTGGAAAAATACAATACAGTACAGCAGCCATGTCAAATGGGTGAACTGTCTATTTCTGCAACATGTTAACCTGGGTGAACTGACAGTGCATTACTGATATCCTTAAGTGATACAGGATGTAATTCTGGGCATCTGAATGCTGAAGCAACAGTAGAGAAAGGCCATGATGCATGGTCTCATCTAAGCCAGTTTTCCATTTTACCAGGATGCTTCCAGGAAGCTTATTATTCTGGACACACAGCTCTGTCTTGACAACAGCTGTGTGCATCACCACTCCTGTGGAGCATTATGGTTCTACATGCAAACCATGAAAAGGATAGGCTCATAAAGCTGTATTGATCTGGAGACTAATGAATTATTAGCCATCCTCACATCATACATGCTAATATCATTTTTATGAAACAAATAGCTTACTTTGTTCACATACAACTCAGACAGTTCTATTGTAACAGCTGATGTAACAGCCCCAGCAACCACAATAGGACCCTGGGCACATACATTTAAAAGGCTCCAATAATCTGTATATAGCCTGCTGCGTCATGCTTTTATTTGCAGTATATGTTTATTCTCTGTCACTGTCCAGCTATTTATAAGCAAGTGACCAGTCTGATCCTTTATGTTAATGGTGAGAATACTCTTTTATAACACTGTATGGTCCTGGTGCTGTTTATTAACCAGCAGCCTTACTTAGTAGTAGTTAGCCTTCCCCTACCACAGCCTGGACCCAGATAAGTAGTGAAAGAGCGTTTAACAAAGTCAGAGCTGTGACGGATTTATTATTACATCAGTTTACCCCGATTTTCTCAGAATTAATGAATGTGTTCATTGTGAAATAATTGAAAATTTGGATTTATGATCAAATCTAGAGCATTTGCAAAGCTTCATCAATTATACCTATATCTGCTTGTGATGTACAAGTGGTCAGGTTCCTTGAAGTTTGACAAGAATATGGCACAGAGTCAACAGATACAGCACATGATGAATCGCTGTATGCTTGACTTACCTGCCAAAAGGTACTGCTCATTTATTGTTTTATCCTTTGTAAGATATGGTTATAAACACATGTGATGTTTATTTCCTTTAGACTGTTGTAGTTTCACAATAAGGAATTGGTCTTTTAATAATCCTGATATTGACTCAATATTTGTAATGAAAAAATATGTCAGAGAAAATATAATGAGTCAATCCTTAAATGATAAAAGTACATTTCAGCCTATTGTATACTGAGGACTAACCAACCCAGCACACCTATCACACAGGAGATAAATACTATTCAGCATTACAAGAACCCTTGTCTTATTGATCAGTATCTGGTTTGAGAGACATCAGATCAGGTGAATGAGAAATAAGGTCATGGTGTAGCTGAAAATATGATTAGACATTAATGTGAGGAGTATAATGGTGCTCAGCCTTTACTGCCCTAAAGTGGATGTGTGCACATTTGTGTTTCTAAGTCTGTTTGAATGTGGAGAAGTTATGGATCATTATTCAGCAGTTCATTGTGTGATTCCAATAGGAGCCTTACTGAGGCCCTTACTGGACCACTCAGAACTCTATTTCAGGCCCAGCTTGCCATGCTCTGGTTTTATCTTGTTTTCTTGCTTAGACACTCACAGCTGTTATTGGCTGAGCCCTTCAGCTGACTCACTGTCATTAAGTGAGGTCGTCAACACTAGAGAAAGCCATTTACCACATTACAGAGAGAGATAGCAGGAGAATGAGAGAGGGAACGTAAAGAAGCTCACTTTTTCCCAAGCAAGGACTTGACTGCTGCTTTAATAGAGGCGTGTCTCCTCTTCTCATGTTTCTTAGTGGTCGGGCCCTGGAGAAGAGTAGAGACAAGAGAGAAGGAAGTGCACTCACCCATTAATGCAAAGCAGCCTCCCTCATAGCTATTCTCTAATACTTGGCAGATACAGTTACAGTAAACCTAGATGTGTAGCTTTTGTATTGCACCAAAAAAAAGGATTTGGATATGTGCCCACATAAACCAGTTACAAAGTCTCACATCCACAACAAAAGTATATACCAAGAATTTGAATGCAGATTTGAAGAAACTTTAACTAATGTTTGCTTCCTATTGTCAGTCATCAGATGTTATCACTCTGCTATGTCAAATAAGTCCACTCACCTCAGCAGGCCTTGCTGTCTCTGAAGTGTGTAATAACTGTGTGGAGAGCACCTCAGAGAAACATCTAAGTCACGCTTCGCTCTCCTAGTGGCTACAGTGTATGGTATCTCATCCACCACCCTGCAGTGCACATCACGCCATCCTTAACCCTTTCATTGTCACAGCTTGCTACAGGGATATCAGCTGTTTGTTCACCTGTGTTTCCTTGTCAAGAGACTGTTCAGTTCCTGTTTTTGCCTGCATCATTTTATGGATTTTATTCCTTGTGCTTCATTCTCTCAGTTTTTTTTGTTTTGTTGTGTTTTTTTGTTGTTGTTTTTTTTTTTTTTTTTTGCACTGAACCTGGTTTGTTTAATTCATTGTTCTATTAGTGTATTAGTTCTCCATTCTTAGTTTTTGTAGTTATCTCCTTGGCTTTGCTGTTATTTTGTTTCCTAACAGTTTTGTTCAGTCAGAGTCAGGTCTGAGCTTATGTTTGGGCTTTTGTATGCTGCTTCTAGTTTAAATTTCCATGTTTAAGTAGGGTTTTTTTGTTTGTTTGTGACACTCTGGTTGTTTCTTACACTTCTATTTGTTTAATTAATTCCTCTTTTGGCTTGAAGGTCTGTGTTACTTGTTTTGTTAGTCACTTTCTCATCCTTCAACCCTTGCCTGTCTGGATTTGGGCCCTCTTAAGTAACTGTAACAGGCAGTGTCACATAACTGGAGACTACACTGGAGTGGGGCAGAGCTAGATCCATTCATTGTATTCTTAAAATGATTTTACTGTGATAACCACTGTACTTTTTTTTATATAGAAATGTCATTCAAAGTAGAAATGTGTGTAATCCAATCAGCCACTAGATGGCATCTTTGCTTTGTTTTAGTTTCTTTACAGCCTCATGCCATTCAGTCATTTTGGGGCTTCTGTCTTATTGGTAGTCATTAGCTACTGCACATTGTGCTGATATTTAATTTAGCCATACATAATACACCATGAATAGATTACAATACAAAGAAATACTGACCCCACCCCCACCCTCCCAGAAAAAGCTCATCTTATATTTACGTGGGCTCTGTTTCTAGGTAAAACTCCCTCCATGAAACAGATTCCAAGTAAACACATCAGTAAAGCAAGACCCTGAGTAGGCCTATCTGTTTTAAGCATATCATAGTTAAACACTTAAGCAGTTTACAGTATGAAGTGGGAAACTGTTTTTACTTAATGCATAGAACTTAAATTTTTAATCCAACATTATAATAGAAGAAATAGTCACAGCTCTCACCTGTCGCTGTTCCCACTACTCATTAATGCACCTTCATTTGTCTAATTGAAGAAATCATGCTAGGAACAGCAAATAAATGCAGTCATAAACATTCAGTCCCACTAGGTGGCAATAGAGAACATACAATTTTTATGTTGATGCTCACTTTGTTTCTGTACAACCTGCTCACAATCATAGTGCAAAGTTTTGGAAAACTTTCATTGGCTTTTCTGGTGAATTAAAACAAAAAACAAACTATCTCCAGCCAATTTTTCTAGTTATCAATGACCACCTTTTAAATTAGTATGAAGTGCTGTAGGCTCCATACCAAAAACTCATAATTTTATTAGTTGATTTTTCATTTCTTGTATGACCTCACTACGAATTGTTTATAACAACAGAGTAATTGTGCAGTGAGAGCATCTAGGCCAAGAGGTCTGCAGCCCCTTCTACAGTGCTGTTCAGTGTAAGGGGTCTGCTTGAGTGTGAAAGTGATGATTGGTGCTTTGTTGAAGCAGTTTTTGTGATGTTCTCGCAGGAATGTTAGACCGGAACCCCCCACATTTCTTGTGTCCTAACCATCTACCATTAAATACAGATGGAGCTAAAGCCTTGGCCTCCTCAGATGGCTGTAGGGCTGCTCTGTGGTGTGGCGTGAGCCAACTTATATGAGCTGAACCAAGCAGGAA